TCATCCTGTTATTCAGTCAATCTAGATCTCTAACCCGATCTCGTTTTCAGTCACAGGTTCCGACCTTGAAAGCGACGATCTCATTCCACATCCCGATACTCAGAAAACCGAACACAAGGTTCGTCAACCGATCTAAGCTTCCGAGCTCCATACACAATCTTTTCTAGCACGTACAATATCACATCTTGTAGTCCGTTTCCGAGTTAATATCAATAAACGAGAATTTCCGATTCTCTTACTGTATATAAATTTATTGTCGAACTCATGAATCAACATGGATCATACACGATTATTGAACAATTCCAAGCAAACCCACAAGATCAATAGTATGCAACCTATCATCCACCACACAAGACGACACTTGCCAGAAATCTCTCAACCTATCTATCGTATGATGATGATTCCCATTTACGCGTTTTGGGTTCGTAAGGGAAACAAGAATCACGAGATCCAAAAGGTAAATCTTTTATGGATAGTCGTAAAGAGTTGGATTGGTTCCGATGAAGAATTGGGTAATCGAAAGGAAGGAGGAATCCGATGAGCACATAAAGAATAGGTTCGGTGATGCGGTCCGAGCGTATCTTGTCGACTCTGGAAGAAGCGATGAAAGTATTTTTATTTATATTCACTAATTAAGAAAATGAATTTTTTTTTTTTTAGTTACTTGTATTAAACAAATGATTATATGAAGAAGAAGGGAACAGAGGAAGCAGAGAGTTGACTATGAGTCAAAGAAACAGAGGAAGCTGACGTGGAGGCTTAGTAGTCAAAGAAGAGAAGAGTCTCTGTGCCTAACAGAGGCTTTTCCTTTGGAGAAGAAAATATAAGTTGTTGTTGATTCAACTTATTATGCTTGTTTGTTAGAATAATCGACATGAGATTGTAGATCCTTACTAGCTGAATTTATCTTTTCAATTCAATGGCTTATTATAATACTAGAAGCACAATGGCTCTTGACTCTTGTAATGGTAAAACGAGAATAATCTTTCGTATAAGATTACAAATAGTATTTTCTTCTCTTTGTGTATTCTCTATAGATAGCTTCAGGTCTTTGAATTTCCTGCATTCGATATTTCAATTTTCAACCATTGGTTAACTAAACCGTTTTGTTTTGCTTCATCTCTAAACCAAGATTATACAGTATTGTTCATATCGTAGAACCTGCAGAATGGGTTTTGTTATATCTGATTGTGAGTACTTATATATATGTCTAATAGCAAACAGAACACTATGCCAACTAAAGATGCATTTCAACAAGTTTTGTATAGAGGTAGCTAAAAAGAATGGTCTACTCAAGTCAGATTCTGTAAGAGTATTTACACTATATATCCACTAGTGTTAAGAAGGACTAGTTACTCTTGAGGTGTCAGATACACAGCTTCAGAGATACTTTGCTTCATATTTGCTCTCATATCAACAAGCATTACACCGTAACAGTACGACAAAAGTCTATCCAAGGCGAACTCATGGATGTAAGCACACACTTGACTGATTCAACATTCCCCCGAATCTCACCTCCTTGACGTCTTTCCAAACCGATCTCTACACACCAAATATCTCTCTCCCCACCAGTATACATCTGACTAGCACCCAAAATCACCAACTTTCCACCGAAATTCGCCATTTTAGCATCATGATACAAGAGCTTAGGCAAACCATGTACACCTTTCACAGCTACCCAGTCCTTCTCCACTGGATCATATACGATTAGTGAACTTCCAAGCATACTTATTCCAAGAGGATCAATAGTATACAACCTATCATCTACCACACAAGACGACATTAGCCAGAAATCTCTCAACCTGTCGTATGATGATTCCCATTTACGCGTTTTGGGTTCGTAAGAGAAACAAGAATCACGATCCAAAACGTAAATCTTCTCTTCCATAACCACGGATGTCTCAAACTCTCCAAGCTCGCTACCGTAATGGTATGGACCAGGCACAGGACTCCAAACCTCGGTCTTGAAATCGTACACTTGGATCCAATCGTCACCGGATAATCGCTTCTTCTCGAAACCTCCGATTACGTAAATCTTCCCATCAATTACTCCGGCGGCTGCTCCGCAGCGAGCTCTGTTCATACTCGGGAGCTCACGCAACGTGTGATTTCTACAATCAATGAGAAACACATTCAATATTTGCTTTCTGTAGTCGTCGCATCCACCGATTAGGTACATCTCGTGTCCGATTGTGACAACCGCAGATCCAAAAGGCATGGAAGGAGGAAGTGAATCGATTTTGCACAATTTTAGAGAAATCACTTGGTTCTGGTGAGGTAACCGATGGAGAATGTACCATCTTGGGATCTCAACAAGACGGAATCCTATGAACGCGTAAAGAACAGGTTCGGTGATATTGCGGTGCGAACGTAACTCGTAGGGTTTCAGAGAAGCGATGAGATCGCCAAAGTATCGGGAGACGAAAGATACCGATGCCAGTGTCGATGACGGCGTTTGGAATTGTGAGAACAAACGAGCGACTCTCTTGAGGTTTCTTGGGTGGATCGCCGCCGTCGGAAATGACTTGTTTCGGTTTCTCTTCGTCTTCTTTCGGTGGATCGCCGCCGTTAGAGACGTCGTCGGTAATGTCAGTGATCACAGCCATCGCCGTGAGAAATCCAGTCAGGAGAGAAACAAAGGAAAGCGAGCTCATTTTCAAGATTTTGAAAAGAAAAGAAAATAAGAAGAAGCGCTCTTTTGTGTTTAACTATTTAT